TCGGTTGAAACAGGTCCAAGCCGGTTGGAACCAGTCTAGGTCAGTATGAACCGGTCTAGGCCGGTTTGTGCCGGTCGAAGCCGGTTTGAACCGGTCAAGTCAGGTTTGTCTAGGCCGGTTTGAACAGTTACAAATGGGTTGGAACTGGCCCAGACAGGTTGGAGTAGGTCCAGGCCAGTTGGAGCAGGTGCAGATCATTTGAAACTGGCCCAAGCTGGTTACAACAGGTCCAGGCTAGTTGGAACAGGTCTATGTCGCTTGGAACGAGCCCAGACCTGTTGGAATCATTTCATACCAGTTGGATCCAGCCCAAGCCAGTTGGAACCAGCCGAAACCAGTTGGAAAAGGTCCAGGTGGGCTCCAACTTGCCCAGACCAGTTTGAACTGGCCCAGACTGGTTGGAACAGATCTAGACTGGTTTGAACCAGTCCAAGCCGATTTGTGCTGGTTTGAACAGGTCTAGGCTGGTTTGAACTGGTCATTCAGTTTCAAATGACCTGCACCTGCTCCAACTGGTCTGGACCTGCTCCAACCTGTCTGGGCCAGTTCCAACCCACTTGGAACTGCTCAAACTGGCGTGGGCCGTTTAAAACTGGCCTAGACCTGTTCAAACTGGCCAAGACTGGTTCAAACTGGCTTGTACTGGCAATAACCTGCCTAGACCGGTTCAAACTGGCCTAGACCGGTTCCAACCAGCTTGGACCTGTTTCTACCGACTTGGACCGGTTCAAACCAGCCTCGACCTTTTCCAACCAGTCTGAGCCAGTTCCAACCAGTCTGGGCCAGTTCAAACTGGTGTGGGCAAGTTGGAACCCGCATGGACTTTTCCCAAATGGTTTCAGCTGGTTCAAACTGGATTGGACTGGTTCCAACCCGTCTAAACCAGTTCCAACCGGTTTGGACCTGTACCACCCGGCTTGGACTGGTTCAAACCAGCCTAGACCTGTTCAAACCAGTCTGAGCCAGCAAAAAAACCCTTTCTGCAACCCCAAGAGTGCCAGATTGGAGGGAGGACCCTCACTCATCAGTTTCTTTATGTACCAGAATGTCCCATTCCCCTTTTGGGACATGATTTTCTATCTAAAATTCAAGCTCAAATAGCCTTCATGCCTAAAGGGGCAGAATTGAAATTACCACCAATTGTAGTAGCTCTAAAGCCAGGTGCAAGCAGAACTGCGCATGTGTCGGTGTTGGTAGATGCACACCGTCTCGCTCTTGGGACTTTACTAATTAAAAGCCTGAAAAACAATTAACTCTCTTCAAACTGATAGCTGAGATAACTCACCGAAAACTGGGCTTAGCTCCAAGTCCTGGATTGGGGTGAGTTAGTGTTTAAAATGGTGGATTATCTATTTATTTGGGAAATACTTGAGAAGGACTTAACAAGATGGCCAAGTCTTTGAAGGAGCTGGGTGAAATGATTCAGCGTTCGGAAGCAAATGTCCGCGCTGATATGCAAGACTTGAAAGGAGAGATGAGAAGAATGACTGCTACAGTAGAAAAAGTTATGAAAATAGCAGAGTATGCAAAAGAGGTAGCTGATGCAAACATAAACAAAATAGAATCTCTGACAAAAAGAATTTCACAAATGAACGATAGACAGCGCAGAAGGAATTTAAAATTCTCTGGTATTTTTGAAGATATTGGGAATAAAGACCTGGAAAATGAGAGGTTACAAGGGCTCAAAGAACAAGGAATTGAAATTGAGCAGAATGAAATTGAGAGAATGCACTGGGTGTTCACATCACGAGGAGGCTCTGGACTTCCCAGGGTTGTAATTATGGCATTCACAAGAGAGAAGGTAAGAGATCAAATTTATAAATCACTCCGGCAGAAAGCAGACCTGCAGCGAAAGGTCATAGTGAGAAAAGACTTTTCTCAGGAAACGCTTCAAGACAGGAAACGTATGCAGCGGTTTGCACAAGCTCTCTACAATAATAAAATCCTCCTTACCTGGGCCTACCCTGCTACACTGCTGGTTTTTAAAGAAGGCAGGAAATATTCTGCTAAGAACCCTGGTGAAGCAAAAAAAAAAAATGCTAGCTGGTTTAGGAGTTGGACTACAAGGACAGACTGAGCAAGAACTCTCATGTTCGGAAGAATTATGGGTAGACCAACAGGGAGAGTCAAGCGAAGAATCTCCAGAATCTCCAGTGCAGAGACAAGAGAATAAAAGAAGACGGAAGTCAAGAGGGGAAGGAAACAGCAAGAAATAATATATACTAGAGACATCTAAAATGGTCTTTTGTAAATATATATACGTTGCTTTTTCTGATATAAACTTTCCAAGAGCGAAGGGAGAGGAGTGTGGTTATCCAAGATACCATGAGACAGGGATCATGGAGATCCCTAACTGAGTCTCAGGGGGGAAGGGGGAGGGTGGTTGAATGGGCCAGAATTGAAAATATAATATATGTACACAGAGGGATTCAAAAAATAAACAGTAGCTGGGATAATAGATAGATCTTTAAAGGTTTTATCTTTAAATGTTAACGGGCTGGCCTCAAACACCAAACGCTACAGGGTACTGACACTGGCAAAGAAAACGAAAGTGGATATACTATGCCTTCAGGAGACTCATAGAGCCAAAGCAAGCAATAGACCTTTGTTATGCTCTCAGCAATGGGGCCTAATAGCAGAATCGAAAGCGACGAACAAGGCTAGAGGGGTCACTATACTATGTAATGCAAATCTTAGGTCGGAGGTTCTGAGCCGAAAAAAGATGATGGTAGATTTATATTCTTAAAAATTAAAGTGTCACAAAAAATATTTACAATAGCTAATATATACAGCCCTAACACAAGACAGAAAAAAATTATAAAGAAAACCTTGAATAGACTGCAGCTTTACGCTGAAGGGGAAGTTATTGTTATAGCAGACTTTAATTGGAATATAAAGAATGACAGTACTTTCAGATTATCTAAATGGGGATTAAAGGATGTTTTTCAGAGGGGAAACCCCAATACCAAACCTACCTTCTTCTCCAACAGACATAAGACTTTCTCTTATATTGACTACGAGCTAATTAAAAATGGAATGAAATCAGTGTTAGAACAACAAAGACTATGGGAATATGGATTTCAGACCATGCTCCACTATTTGTGGAGCTGGGACTGGAAGAGGATGGAAAAAAGCAGGAGATGGCGGTACAATAATTTAATAATGGCAAAAGAGACTGACAGGGAATATATTAGAAAACAAATTGGTTGGTATTTTAAAGAGAACAATGCTTCAGCCGAGATCCCGGTAGTATGGGACGCTTTCAAAGCTGTTATAAGAAGACATTGGATACTGAAAGAGATTGCGATTAAGAAGGATTGGTACTCGGGGAGACAGGAAAAAATTAAAGAGATTGAAATCTTGCAACAACAGCAACAGGTTAAACTTCTAAGGAGAAGACAGGAGCAGTTAAGAAAGTTAAAACAGGAATTGGATGAGCTGGAAGAGAGATAATATGATAAAAAATGGTTTTCAGAGAACCTCAATAGGATCATATACCGTATTTTTCGCTCCATTGGACGCACCGGACCATAGGACGCACCGGATCATAGGAGGGGGAGAACAGGGGAAAAGATTTTTTTTCTTGTTCTCCCCCTCCAAAACAAAGTGCGTTCAAGGTACATTCACCAGAGCTTGTGGGGCTGGCGGTGGGGGGAAGCGCTGCTTTCCCCCACCGCCAGCCTCAAAGATCCCTGAAGCCTTTGGAGCGCAGCGCCCCGCTGCCCTGCACAGGTTTGCACGCAGCCGTCCCCAAGCTAGAGCAGTGAAACGGAGCCCTCCATCTCGCTGTTCTGGCTTGGGAACAGCCTTGCTAGCTTCTGCAGGACAGCGGGGTGAAGGCACCCCGCTGCCCTGCAGAAGTTTGCGCGCAGCCGTTCCCAAGCTAGAGCAGTGAGACGGAGCCCTCCGTCTCGCTGTTCTGGCTTGGGAACAGCCAGAACGTGCTGCTCTAGCTTGGGGAGGGCTGCGCGCAAACCTCTGCAGGGCAGTGAGGTGCCTTCACCCCGCTGTCCTGCAGAAGCTAGCAAGGCTGTTCCCAAGCCAGAACAGCGAGACGGAGGGCTCCGTCTCGCTGCTCTAGCTTGGGGACGGCTGCGCGCAAACCTCTGCAGGGCAGCGGGGTGCCTTCACCCCGCTGTCCTGCAGAAGCTAGCAAGGCTGTTCCCAAGCCAGAACAGCGAGACGGAGCACTCCGCAGTGCTCCGTCTTCCTGTTCTGGCTTTGGGCTTAGCGGCGCAGCCTGCATTCGCTCTATTGGACGCACACACATTTCCCCTCAGTTTTTGGAGGGGGAAATGTGCGTCCTATAGAACGAAAAATACGGTAAGAGACTGGCAAACTATTTAAAGAAAAGAAGGGATAAACAGAGGGTGAAGGCCATTAAGACCAGAAGGAAAATACTTACACAAAGCTCTAGAGAAATAAGGAAAGAATTTGCAGAATTCTATCAATCTTTATATAAAGAAGAAAATAAAAATATAAGTAGGGAAAGTTTAGGGTTTAAAATCGAAGAAAGTGATAGCTTAAGACTGAAGGAGGAAATTTCTCTGGAAGAAATAGAGAATGTAGTTAAATCATTTAAAAGTAAGAAATCCCCAGGATTAGATGGAATTATGGCAGACTTTTATAAAGAAACAATTGATATCCTGGGCTCAGAACTGAAAAAAGTATTTAATAATATCTTAGAAGGGGGGGGAAGCCCCAGACACTTGGAAACTAGCGGAAATAGTAGAGATTGAAAAACCACAAAAGGACCCTACAGAGGTGTGGTCATACAGACCAATTAGCCTATTAAATCAAGACTATAAGATATTTACAAAGATCTTGGCAAGGCGACTGGAAAAGCTACTACCTAAAATAATTAAGGAAGATCAATATGGATTTGTTAAGGGAAGATGCATAGGCCATTCTATAAGAAATGTGTTTTAATAAATACATTTAATAAATACATTTTTTTGTTTTATTTATTTTTTATATTTTTTTATTATTTTTATTGTTTTAATAAATACAATTATTAACAAGCAGGGTAAAAGGAAAATTGGTGGTCTTAAAGTTGGATGTGTATAAGGCCTTCGACACAATTAGACATAAGTTCTTATGGAATATTATGCAGGAGGTAGGATTAGGAGAGAACTCTGTCGAAGCAATCTGGGAATTGTATAGAGAAGGGAAGGCTGTGGTCAGAGTGAATGAGGGGGTTTCAGATTAAGTCAGTATACAAAGAGGAGTTAAACAAGGATGTTCACTCTCACCACTACAATTTGCATTGGCTATGGAGTACTTGGCAGACAGAATACGAAACTCAGTAAGGATAAAAGGATATAAGAAAGGAAAGGAAGAAATTAAGTTAAAGATTTATGCAGATGCTATCCTATTATTATTTACAAACCCCTTAGAGGGTGTAAGAGAATTTATGATAATCCTGAAGAACTTTAAAGAAGAGTCGGGATTGGGAGTAAATTTGGAGAAGTCTGAAATTTTATTTGGGGATGTAAATAAAGAGGAGAAGAAGGAAATTGCAAAAATGACAAAGATGGATATCAACAGGAAAAAAATTGAATACTTGGGGTAAATACTATTAAAAATAGTGCTAGGATTCCAGATGTAAATTACAAAGAAGCATGGAGAAAGATCAAGAAAGACATAAAATCATGGAAAAATAAGAATTTATCTATTCTAGGTAGGGTTAGAGCAGTTAAAATATTTTTATTTTCATTTTTATTTTCAAGTAATTATACTACCCATTAGGAAAATATGGTTCAAAACATGGAATAAGGTATTTAAAAATTGGATTTTTTGGAAGTAAAAGAGTTAGAACCCCAGACATAGCAAATTATTCATCTCAAGAAGAGATGGGATGGGGAATACCGAACTTAGAATTTTACTATGAAACGTTCCAGTTGAAAAATCTAATAGATATTGGATATAAGGAAGGGATTAAATGATAAGGCTGGAGAATGAAATAAGTGAAGGAATAGGAAGAGAAGGGCTATTTAATAGAGATATTAACATGGCTTTTAAGAAGACAATAGGACCAAGGAAAACTGCGTTAGGAATCTGGAAGAACTGGAATACAAAATGGATGCCAACATACTCAAGGTGGATGCCGTTAAAATATATGCAGGAGGGTCAAAGGGAGCCTGGTTGGTGGAAGAAATTAGAAGATCAGGGATTTTATAAATTAAAAGATATGTTTGATGAAGAGGGGAATTTAATTACAAAAAAAGTTTTTAAAGAAAAAATAGGAAAACAATATTGGCTGAAAGTGCAAGGACTTTATGATTTAATAAAAATGGAAAGAGCAGATGAAACAAATGAAAATAGATATGGTGCTGAGCAAAAGACAAATGACGAAGAAAGGGATACTAGGGATGTTATATAAAGTGATGATAAGCGACAAAGAAAGAATGATAAGGATAATTCAGATTAAATGGGAGCAGGAAGCCTTGCTCAGGATCAGATGTGCACCCACCAAGAGGCTAAAGCTCTCTCCCTTTGAGCTTTTGTATGGAAGAACTCCTCCACTTACCACAGAAATAAGAGCAGACTTAGTACAAACGGGAGGACAGAGTACATCAGAACAAATCCAGTTTCTCTCTCGTGTTTTGATTTCTCTTAACAGGTGGGCCCTTGATCGTACGCCAATCAGCCTGGCTGAACCCATACAGCCCTTCCAGCCTGGAGATGAGGTGTGGATGAAGGAATGGAAGAACAACCCATTGGCTCTTAAGTGGCGTGGTCTTGCTTGCAACGCCATCTTGCTTGCAATGCCTACCACGGTGAAAGTGGCCGAGGTGACCCCCTGGATTGATCACTCTTGTCTGAAGTGGTCTGAGGGTCATTGGAACTGTGAGCAGAATCCTTTGGACCCCCTGAAGTTGAAGATCACCAGGAACCCCTGCCCCTAGCCCCACCGGAGTGGGTTAGGGCACGAGCCCCAGACGACCGGTCTGCTCCTATTGCACCAGAAGCCAGTGAGTCTACGCACACCCGAAGATTGAGGAACTGCACCGGCAGATGGGAGGATCTTTACCAGTTGAATTATCAGCCAGTCCTCAATTTGTGCCAGATTTAAATACAGACCCGCTGTACAGATAGTAGTAAGGAATGTGGATGGGCTAGGGAACATAATTGATAAGTGGGTAGAGTTGTTGGAGGATTACGGATGTCATATCCCCTTGTATTTTCATGATTGGTACATACCCGTTTGGGTACAAGCATTACCAAGGCAGCTGTGGCATATACCCATATACCCTTAGAAGGGTTTCGGCCGAGACCAACCTATCATTGGAGGTAAATGCCCGGGGAACCTTAAAGAACTGTAGTTGGGTTCTCTCACCCACCACCCCAAGGTGCACTTCCTCCCACCATACTGGTCACAGTAGCCTTCTTTCCTCCACCACCCACAAACCCTTTTTGAGTAGCAATAGCAGGGTGTATACAGTGTGAATTGACCACTCCAGTTCAACCAGAACCTGGGGACCACTAAGAGGCTCTACTGGGTGCAGCTGAACGGAGGGTTGGCTCACTCTCCAGGTATGCTCTGGTCTTGGTTACCTCCAGTTCTTCTTACAGTAATAATAACTGTTCTCCTTCTTATCTTCTTTTACGTATACAGGGAGTATTTCTTTGGAGAGGAATTGTTCCTATCCTTGGGCTCCTTGAACCCATGGAGTTCCTTGATCATGATGAAGTTGATGTTAACCCTGATGTGCATCTTGACCTTGAGGAGACCAATGACAAAAGAAAATGCTTTTGTAAAGAATGCTAAGCAGATGTTTCAAATATATGGAGAAAATGTTGCCCTTTATTATGAACACCCTAGAAAGGTAGCTGACATGTCCCTCATCCCAGGACTAATCAGGGACCCTGACATTGTCTTGGCAGGCCTACTGTATAATCAAAGTGGCCTTTTCGCGACACCTCCTTCTGAAATGAATGATACCTCCTACCAATATTTCCGGTTCTCCAGAACCACCCAGGGCTTGTGCTTTTGTTGTTATGCCTCTAGATCATGGAACGCCAAATGGAAAGATTGGCCGCATGTCCAGCACCACCAACATAAAAGTTGGCTGGGAAATTACACACAGTGCACTGGTAAGTTTTGGTTGTGGGGTTGCTTCAACGCCTCTTACCAAAGCAACACCACATCCTCATATCTGTATCCATACTTTCCCCAATATACAGTCAACTTCACCGGACAGGGATCCATCTGTTCTGGCTGGCTGATCAAGGACCCCAATCTTTGGTTCTTGTATAATGGACTAGCCACTAATTACCACCCTGGTAATTATCAGTGTGTGGGAATAGGTGCCTTTACTTTCCCTGTGACTGTGGAGGCTTTTCTTCCTCTACCCTCTCTTAGAAACAGAAAGAGGAGAGAAGTCCAAAGGGAACAGTGCAGTGATGAGATTTTCCTGGCCCGGTCTGTGGGTGCTGTTGGTGGAGGCTTCGTTAGCATCCTCACCATCGGCATACATCTGGGAGTTGTGGCTGAACAAAACCGTGAAGCACTATTTGCCCTAACATGTAGGTTGGAGAAAACCATCAATGCCACTACACATATCCTCCGACAGTTGCAGTCTGAGATTGAGGATTTGAAGCAGATCGCAGCAGCTAATAGACTTGCTCTTGACTATCTTCTCGCCAAATCAGGAGGTTTTTGTAAAATAGTCCCGGAAGGCAAATGCAGAGTGAAGTTTCATGACCTCAACAACACTATTGAGGACGAGTTGCCAAAATTACAGGCCCTTATAAATGATAACCAACCCAGTCAGAATCCTTGGGAATGGATGTGGTCTTGGGTCCCAGGAGTATGATGGTTACATAGCCTTTTGACCGCCATTGCAGTAGGAGGATTAGTCTTCCTAATACTTCTTTGCATCACCCCTTGCTGCATATCTCTAGTCAGAGGAATGGTGGCCCAAAGCATTAAGAATCTCACTGAAACCCACATCATGGCCATATACCGAGCCCTGCCCCCTCTGCCAGAAGAAGAGCATGAGTACGCTCAACTAATTCATGAAATGCCCCTGAAGAGATCCCCTTGAGAGACACAGTTGTCTATACCGGGGTTCAACATGAGAGTCAAGCTGGAGAAACAACTGTGACTTGTTTCTAAGCTTGAAAGAGGGGGATGTGGCAAGGCCACCTGGAAGAGTTTTACCTTTACGTTTTATGTATAACCATGTATCCTAATAATGCTTAAATTGTTAAGGCTAGAAGTGCCTAAAATCTTAAGAATCAAGATTTTATGCTTGCAACATACGCTTCTGGTTTCTTGTTGAATGGTTTTTTAAAAACCTTAATGATTTCTTCATGAACTTGTTCCAAAAGCTTTTTATCTCCTTACACCCCACCATATATGGTACATTGTTCCTATCTTGGTGTTACATCTCCAGCACACATTGGTTTTTTGCTTATAGATTTTTGCCGATTCCTCGGGGCAGGGGTTAGGTACCATTGGTAGATCATTTTCATTAGATTCTCCCTTATTGTATAGCATGCTGTGAACTTGATGTCAAATTTCCACAGCTAACATTATGTTGTGGCCAAAATCCTGCGCCCACTTTATCATAACATCCATTAGCATCTCATCCTTGAGTTCCCATTCCAAAAGTAGATCATACATCCTAGATAGGGTCTTTTTATAAATTTGTACTAATTCCTTTTGTAAGAATGACTTCTTTTCTCCAAAACCAATTTTCTTATCCTGATTAAATATATGCACTATTAGGTGATAGTGAATCCAGCCGTTACAATACTGTTTAATTTCTTCATACAATTTGATTTTTAATTGGCCCTGTTCTACCTTTATTAATTGTTGCTAAGTTGCCCAATTTGTGTCCATGTTTGTCTTTTTTACCGTTATCATCTCCACTGGGGATACCCACCAGGGTATTTTGGGCTCTAATAGTCTGTGGTACTTATCCCAGACCTTGTATAATGAAATTCTGACTATATGATTTTAAAAGTCCTTATGCACTGCCACTTTGTTGTATGTTAGGTAGGCGTGCCATCCAAACCTCGTATTCCAACCTTCTAAATCTAATATATCAGCCTTCTTCAAGAAGGTGGGGTTGTTTTAAATGATTGTTAAATGTGTTATGTTGATTTAGATTTTGTATTGGTGGGCTGGAGTGTTGTTTCAGGGCTCTTTTATTGTTTATTAGTGTGCATACATTAGTCTTGTGGCTCTTTTTAGTATGTTTTTATTATTTTAATTTATATTATGTTCTGATATTTTTATTATGAATTTTGTGCAGTGATTATTCTTATTATGTATTTTGTGCTTCCTATAGTTGGTGTTGTGAACCACCCTGAGATTCAAAATCAATAAAAACCAACAATCCAAAACAACATCAACAAGAAACACAACAACAACAAAAAGGTTTCCTACCGCTGTGTACGGAGGGTCGTGAGGGCAGCACCACTCCTCTTGGTCCATCCTGATGGCGTTGATGTTCCTGGCGCTGGTCCAGACTGGATCCCGCGGAGAGCAGAAGATGGTATCTCTGCAGCACAACTCTGATGTTACGTTGCCTTGGCCTGGCGCTACTGCGGATGTTCTGTCAGGAGGAGAAAGAGGCTCCTTGAGAAACTCACCTCCAAACAGCCCACCAGATGTCCCAATAGCCCACCAGATGCCTCACTCACCTGGCATGCAGCTCAGGAATTCCTGTGGGTAAGGTTCCCTGTGAACGCAGTGGAGCAGCCTCCTCAAAAAGCGCTGGACCCTGCCTTTCTTCCGATGTTTATAGGCCTGCTGCATGATGTTCAGGCAGCTCCTCCCTGTCTGCCTGAGCCCTTCTTCCTCGTGCTGCTGCATCTCTTCTAGCCCTGAGTGGCAAGGGAGAAAGGTTGAGCAAGGCGGAGATACACAGGAAAAGAGCCATCCATCAACAATATGAAAACAGCCGTCAGGTGTGTTTGTGTGTGAGAGAGAGCAGTGAAGTCACATTCCAATTCTCTTTGCATGTTCATCTTGTGGCACCTCTGTCTGAACATACATCTGGGAATTTGCCTTCCCCTGAAGACCTTTCTCAGCAGAAGCATCCCTCCCTGCCCTCCGTACGTCTCACTCACATGTTCCATAGGATGCCATGTCTTGATCGTGGATGAAACTGGCATCCCGGAAAGCCAGATGACCTAGAGAGAGAGAAAGGGCAAGAAAAGGGACGTCATCTCGGTGCAAAGCAAGCGGAGACAGACGCAGCTCGGCAGGAGGACAGGTATGCTCTGCTGCGTCTAGAGGCCTCCACCCTCGCGGAGCACTCAGCGCAAGATCTGGGCACAGATGGAGGCCTACCTAGCAGGTGGCCTGGGGACATGTCCATCCTCCCTGCCATCGTTACCAAGACGTTTCTGTCCATCCCTACCAGGGAAGGACGTTGCTTGACTTACCCAGAAGCAGAGCTGCCACCCTGGAGACTGATGGCAGCCTGTTGGCGGACGGCTTCGTACATGTCAAGGCAGCACTCCGAAGGATGTCCTTGCTGAAGGTCTTGCTCTGTGGGCAAAGACAAAGGAGAAGCGGCATCAGAGAAGCTTGAGAGCGCGGCAGAAGAGCCTTGCACTCCCAAATACATGCCTGGGCAAAGCTGCCAATGAAGCAGAGGGGCCTTACCAGATGCTTGGCAGCCTGGTGGAGAGCAAAGTGGAGGCTAAATTTGTTGGAACGAGCCCACCACTTCACTTGTGGGGCTAGATGGGAAAGAGCCCTCCTTGCGGCCTGCAACACAAGAAGAGAAGAGGGTTACAAATTGCGGTACATAGTCTCGGAAGCTTCTGAGAACAATCCCTCCCTCCTGCTGTGTAAGTCCACCTCTTTGGCCCTCACCTTGGCCACCTCATCCTCGTCTTCGAGGTGAATGAGGACCACAACCAGTTCGTAAATGGCTTCTTCTTCTGTTGTTGTTGTTATTATGGGAAGCCTTTGGTCTCTCACCCAGCCCCGAAGCAGCCCCAGATGTTGGATGGCTGATGCCCGGACGGAGGCTTCTTCCTGTAGGCAGAAAATATCAGAGGTTGTGTTTCTCATCAGATCACTTTCCTTTCTCCTGCCCACTGGGGTGTTTTGAGGCTGCTCAGCCCCCTATCCTCCTCCTGGGGGAGACTGGGGGCAGGGGTGACTCTCTCCCTGCGTTTTCCAGGCAGGCTTCCAAGAGAAGGTGTTCCAGAGGAACACCCTCCTGAAGCCAGAACATCTCTGTTGCATGCCAGTCTAAACCCCACCCTTCCTCTTCCAAAGCATTCCTCCTCCATCGGGTGTGGTGTCATGTTTTCCCTCATACTCACATGGGCAGCCAGACCGCAGTAGGTTGCCGCCAGCATCTTCAGGTCTTCCTCTCCCAGCTCCCTGGAATGGTAGGCTTGGTCTACCAGCTCTATCAACTCCGGGAGGACATCGGCTTCTGCAGAAGGGAGGGAATCCAGCAGCAACAGCCGCAGAAGCGAAGGGTCCTACACAAAAGAGAGAATCTTTTCAAAGGTCTGAAAGGCCTCACACCTTTTGGCACAGGCCCTTCAGTATTGTGCCAGCAAAAGAGTGCTGGGCCATGATTAGAATCAAGATCTGTACCCCCCCTCCCTCCCTCTGAGCATCACTTGCCATGTCAGAGTCCAGAAGCAGGGATATCCCTCTGACGCTGAGCTTCCGGACTTGCAGGTGGTCGTGTGCCAGCCAGTTGAGGAGCTGCTCCAGTGTATCTTCACAGGGATAGACCTCCAGACGGCAGCTGAGCAGCTAAAGAGGCCCAAAGAGAAAGAAACTCTTCAGGGATGAGCGGCTGAGGCAGGTTCTCCTTTTACCCACCATTTGCAATTCTGCACAGAGCAAACCCACTGAAGTGAATGTACCAAAGTTTGTCATGTACATCAAATCCAATGGGTCTACTCTGAGGAGCACTAAAACAGGCAACAATCCTTAGGCTCAAAGTAGCCCAACACTCAGCAGAAACCAAGCCAGGGCCTCCTTGCTGCACCCATTTCCTCCCGCGTCAGTCCCCCTCACCTCGATGTAGATAGCTGCCGCGACTTGTGGCACTCCGGCAAACTCCTGGTCCTCGAGAGCAGCGATGATATTTTCCACCATGGGAGGGATCCACCAGCGTCGCTTTCCGACGGCTCTGAAATGGAGAAGGAGATCTCGGTAAGGAAGGGAAAGACACCGCAGAAAGCAAACAGGGGCACAGTCCGATCCTGTGCCTTCAGCTCCGTTTGCCAGACCACTGGGGAAGGTCACCGCGTTCTTCCTCTTACCTCACCATGGCAGACAACCCCTGGCTGAAAGTCTCCCGGCAGAAAAGTTGGTCAACGATGGCCGCCTCCACTTGCTCTCCAGTGGTGCCAAGAAGGAGGTGCAGAACTTCCTTAGCCCCTCTGGAACCAAAGCAAGACCATGTTCACCAGGAGGGTCATTGTCACACACTCAAATTCCTTCCCCAGCAGCTGCCTGAAGGAGAGCCTCCCTTGCAAAACCAAGCTGGACCGGAAACCCCCCAAGGTTGAAGGGGAAAGGACTCCATTGGTCCCTTTGCAACACACTACTCACCCGAGGAATTCCTGGTCATAGTGGAAGTTCATAACCATCCCCAGGAGAGCGATGAGCAGCTGTGGGAAGTTCTGGCGCACAGCTGCCTTGTAGTCCTCCATCCTGAGGATGGCGTGCAACAGGCTGGTGAGATGTTGCTGGAAGAGAGAGAAGTGCAAGTCACTTTCCCTGCTTTTCTGCAGAATACAGGAATCCCTAGATATTCCCTGGGAAGAAGGAAGCCAGAAAGCAGGTGGTTGGTCCTTACCACTTCGGTGGCAGATTCCGCCAAGGGGCTTTCGTAAAGCTGCTCGGCCGTGAGATGGATCAGTTGTTCTGGGTCGGCCGATGCTAAAACCTCCTTCCACACTCTCTCGCAGTGTCTGTGAATGCAAAAACAAGAGCAATGGTCAGATTCAAGTCTCCTGCTTGCTGCCATGCTCCAGAGAGAGGAAATGGCAGCAAGGGCTTTCTGAGCAAGCCCTGCAGCTTGCCAACCTCCCCCTTAGCCCAGTAGAACCTGGAGGGCTCCATACCCGAAAGGAAACTGGAGGAGATATTCAACCACTGTCGCCAGGTGGTGGTGCGACAAGATGGACAAAGCGAAGACGGCCATGCTTCTGCCTTGCACTGTAGGCCCCTGGCTGATCTTATAGAAGGCCTCCAGCAGCACCTTCACCTGTCAGAGAAAAGGAGAGGGTTGCTTGGAGAGTACAAGGAAGCGGGGCTGTCTGCAGGCGGATCCCTCCATCCCTCATTGAAAGAGGGACCCTTGACCTGTGCCACCACAGCCTCTTCCTTCCAAGGTACCACTCAGGGTCCTGGGGAGTATTGGACCCAGGCAGCTCCAGGGCACCAGTTCCCCTATCCATTGTGGGCCAAGAGAAGAAGCTTGCCAGTCTGCTCCCAGAAGGAGGAGGATTTCCCATCCCTGAACCCATGTTTCTCAGGACCCTTGGCTGAGGTTCTTGTCCTGACATTGCCAGGCCCCTCTCAACTAACATGTTTCCTGGCCACCCAGTGGCATGAGGTTGCCTCCCCTACATCAAAGCAGAGAATCTTCTTCTCTCCCACCTTTGCAGACGCCTTACCTTCACTTTTGTGCCGCCAAACTGCTTGATGAATTCTTGCAGTAAGTGGGAGATATCCAACGGGTTGAAGCTGCTCTCGACAACCAGGTCTCTGGCCAGGAAGCACACGGCCTCCAAGAGCTGCTCCGCAGGGAGAAAAGCACCAAAGACCTGAAGCAAGAGAGGAAGGTCAGAGATGCCCAGAGGGCAGGGCTGGGGAGCAGAAAGCCCAGGTGCTGCCTCTGCGGAACCCAGAACATGTGGCTTGAGAGACAGCGACTTACCCTGGCAAGAGAGTAACAATTATTCACGAACAATTCAGGAACCGGTCCTCCGGTGGATTTGAGGACCTTCTCAGCTCTGAAGATGAGCGTTTGGTTCCATGACGTTCGTGCCAGCATCTCTGCAAAGGAAAGCCAAAGGGTTAGTTTGGGTCTTGCTCACCCCCACCCCATGCTGGGATACATTCTTCTAGTCTTACCTTCGTTGCACCGCAGGATGGGCAGAAGATGGCAGAGAGCCTCTGCTGCCCGCTGCCTGCTCTCCGGGTCCGGATCCAATGCACAAAGGCAGGAAATCGCCACCAGTTGGCCATAGGAGCATGCAGGAACCGCTACCGATGGCTGAGAAGAAACCCAGAGAAGGGACTGATAAGAGAAGCAACCCATCACCATTTTTCCTATAACATTTTTATTAAATCTTCCAAACATTCCAAAACATTTAGCATCCACTACAGAAAAAAATCCATTTCTTTTTGACTTCCCACCCCTCTTTTCCTAGTGTTTGCTTTTTTCTTCTTTTCTCAGCCATTTTACTCACTATGGCCCAGCTCTGTTCTCCAAATTGAGGATGTGCTGGGATGCCTGATTGTCCCTTGGGCACCTTGCAGGGTGGGCCTAGAAGCAGCAGCCTGAAGGCCTTGACAGCCCTGCATGGTTGCAATGCTTCCCTTCAGTAAAGCCACTTCTGAGCTGGAGAGGAGGTGCGGTTGTGGGCTTCATGCCTTCCTCCCACGTACTCGGGGGCTGGCTCGCAGCCCCCGCGAGAGCAGGGAATCCTCGGGCGCGTCATCTCCCTTGCCAGCCAATCGGCTGGCCCGGGAGGCGTGGTCAGCACTATTTAGGGCCGGCGCGCCTGAGGATTTCCCTTTTTCTCCCAGCGCCCCAGCAGCTCCGGTTTTCCCACCCTCCCACCCTTTAGGTTTGGCTCTTTGACATTGCTATGGACTTTGGTTGGTTGCCGTCAAGGGGCCTGGTAGGAATTTTTTCCACTTGGCAAATTGGCACCAGCCATTTGGTTTTTTGCCTACCTCGTAGCAAATTGTCACAACTTCCTCGGCATTGGCGGTGAGGCATTGGTAAGAGTATTGTTATGCAGATGAGTGGGGGGGGGGAGGAAGCAGCAACACCTTCCTCCATATCGAAGGGTAGTCCGGTAAAGGATTCCGTGGGGCGTTGCCCTGTCCGAAGCCTATGGAGGTGTGGGCCCAAGGCATGCCCCCGAGGGGTGACCCCGGGGGAGCTCCTAGTTGATGTACATCAGCAGGACTCCCCCTACTGGTGGTTAACCCTTGCCGGTCTTCTAGCAATCAGGCTGAAGCCGGTTAGTCGATAGGACCAATGCCTAAGCCAACACCGCTCAATTCCTGTAATCAATAAAGTTGTGGCCTAATTTTGCCCATTAACCTAAAATACTGGTGTCCTGTGTCTTTATTTCCGTGGGGGAGGTGGGAACTCGCCACGCAACTCACATATTCCTGGATCTTCTGCAGGAGGGCGGAAAGATCTCGGAGCGCCTTCCTTCGGATCTTCCCACTCTTCATCGCTGCGACGACATCCGTAAGTCTGTTCTTCAGCTGGTCCCTGCTGTCGCTTTCAGGAAGAAGATCAGCTGCATCCAGAGAAGCTGTGGTTGGGATGCTGAGGGGAGGGAGGAGTAGCACTTTTGTAAAATGGTTTTATTGCCTCCCATCCTTCAAAGACCCCAAGCACCCCCACCATAGAAATGGACCGGGTTGTTTTTTAAAAGCAATTGATTATGGGGGAGGGGATTAGCACAGGATTACCTTGGAGGAAGATCCTCCCCATCTTCCAGGCTGATTTCTGATATTTGATCTTCATCAAAATCAATTCCCTGTCCATGAGAAAAGAGAAACAGGAACGTCAGAATGTGAAGAATGGATCAGACCCATTCATGTTTTTGTGTTGATCAGGAAAGCACAGACGAGGTAGGTTGGGAAACAAACTGAAAATCTCTGGCCTCCATTTCCTTAGAGACCTTATTCATCCTTCTCTTCATTTAAGCCTTCCGTTAAGAGTTTGGGTGTAATCCTTGACACCTCCCTTTCCATGGAGGCGCAGGTTACAACAGCCAAGGCGACATTTTTCCACCTTCGCCTCATCAAGCAGTTGGTCCCTTACCTTTCCCGCCCCAACCTGGCCACAGTGATCCATGCGATGGTCACCTCCAGGCTTGACTACTGTAATTTGCTCTATGTGGGGCTGCCCTTGAAGCTGTCCCAGAAACTCCAGCGGGTGCAGAATGCTGCAGCGAGGCTCCTCACGGGGTCTCTGCCATGGGAGCATATTCACCCAGTGCTTTTCCAGCTGCACTGGCTCCCGGTGGAGTACAGGGTCAGATTTAAGGTGCTGGTTTTGACCTTTAAGCCCTTCACAGCCTAGGACCCTCGTACCTATGGGACCGCCTCTCCCGGTATGCCCCACGGAGAGCCTCAAGGTCCATAAATAGCAACACCCTAGTGGTCCCGGGCCCTAAGGAAGTTAGATTAGCTTCAACCAGAGCCAGGGCCTTCTCAACACTGGCTCCGGCCTAGTGGAACGCTCTGTCTCATGAGACCAGGGCCCTGCGAGATCTGATTTCTTTCCGCAGGGCCTGTAAGACAGAGTTGTTCCACCTAGCCTTTGGGCTTAGAATCAGTTTGATTCCCTCCCCCTCTTTCTTTTTCCTTTCTCCTCCTGTGAAGAGGCTGCATCCTAATGTTTTAATGTTGTATCTTAATCTT